CCGATCCCGGTCGTTCCGACTTATATACTGCGTGCAAAGAAAAGAAGGGTGTGTGCAAAGTTTCAAGTCGATAGCTTTAAAACTGAGAGACTAGTTCGCGTAGAAACAGACAGACAGACAGACGGACAGACGGACATGCTCATATCAACTCAGGAGGTGATCCTGATCAAGAATATATATACTTTATAGGGTCGGAGATGTCTCCTTCAATGCGTTGCACACTTTTGGACAAAATTATAATGCCCTCTGCAAGGGTATAAAAATAGATTAAAAAAGGTGGAACCATGTCCATTTTTTTGAAATATCTTCATTTCTTTATTATTAAGTAAATTCAAAAAACAGAATTTAAAAATGTTGGATTGTTTTTAAGTTAACTATTAATGCCACAAAAACAGGGCAAATTCCCCACTGTGCAATGGCTCCAATATGAATAGAAGGGGGTTCAAGCACGAATCTTGGAAATGAATCCTCGAGCATTCTACATCCCCTGCGCATGTTACAGCTTAAATTTAGTGTTATGTGACTTGGCTTCCGAAAATCGACAAGAAGATTATGTTTTTGGCATACTGAATAAAAATTACTGCATTTTTTGATCATAAACACAGAGGTGGTCGATTTTGCATAAACATGTGTAAAAAACGATTGGTGTAAGAAACTGGTCTGAAACGAGATGGGAGAGTCGTATAAACAGTGTCAAAGCAGTAAGGTAAGGTGTTGTCGAAGCTTTGTCTGAGTATTCTTGTTTAGAGTCAGATCTTGTAAGTCGAGTCTATAGTAGAAAAAATGATGAAAATGGAAATCGTCGTAGGTCTAGTTGTTTGGTACGATATTTTGCACGCTGTAAATGTCGTGAGCAAGAAATTAGAGTCAAAAGATATGGTACTTGATGAAGCTGTAAAAGGGCTAAAAGGAATTAACAGTTTCTTATCCGAATATCGCTGTACTGGGTATGAGAAAGCATTAGTTGTAGTTCTTAAACGATCTCAATGTAGAACCCACATTCGAAACGAAGAGAATTCGAAAATTCAGAAAACAATTTGAGTATGAGGGTCATAATAATCCTCTGAACTTAGAAAAATCATCGGAAAAAGTTTAACAAATAGATTTTTTCAACGTCGTTATAGATTTTCTTCGTGTTTTTCTTTTCTTTATTTTTCTGCTGTGTCTAGACGGTTTGAGCAATTACGACAATCTATTTGGATTGCTGTACGATCCGAAAAGATTGAAAAAAAAGGCCTGAAGAAGATTTATTAAAGCATTGTAAGGACCTAGACTTAGCGCTACGTTACGAGAACGAAAAGGACCTGCATTCTAAGCTTTTTTCGGAACTCATAATTTTCCCGCATTTTATTACTGATGAAATGCAAAACGCTATTCAGGTTCTTCGATTTCTCCGTTCTTACGGAAGTGGTTTCCCGAACACTATTATTGGATATCGTATATTATTGACTATTCCCATATCTGTGGCTAGCGGTGAGAGATCGTTCTCAAAACGAAAGTTGGGTCATTTTCGATCGTTAAGTTATATGGCAGCTATAAGATATAGTCGGCCGATCCTTATGAAATTTGGCATGTCGTAATGTTTTGCCAATAATAGCTCTCATGTTAAATTTGACTCTAAAAACACCAAAGTTATACGGCAGTTATATGGCAGCTATAGGATATACTCGGCCGATCCCGACTTATATACTGCGTGCAAAGGAAAGAAGGGTGTGTGCAAAGTTTCAAGTCGATAGCCTTAAAACTGAGAGACTAGTTTGCGTAGAAAAAGACAGACGGAAATGCTCAGATCAACTCAGGAGGTGATCCTGATCTGGTCAGGATCTTATATTCTTATATATATACTTTATAGGGTCGGAGATGTCTCCTTCACTGCGTTGCAGGGTATAAAAAACTACTGCTCTGCTCTCATTGTTTTTCTCTGCTACTCATACACTCAAATTTTAAACATACATATGTGTTTGTTTTGCCCCCACTGGTTTAAAAGTATCGACTTCCAACTTTGCACACATACCCTACTTTCCTTTGAACGCAGTAAATAAGTCGGAACGCCCGGTTTGGGCTCCACCTGAAGTTAACTTTCTAATCGTGTTTTTATACCCTTGCAGAGGGTATTATAATTTTGGTCAAAAGTGTGCAACGCAGTGAAGGAGACATCTCCGACCCTATAAAGTATATATATTCTTGATCAGGATCACCTCCTGAGTTGATATGAGCATGTCCGTCTGTCCGTCTGTCTGTCTGTCTGTTTCTAAGCGAACTAGTCTCTCAGTTTTAAAGCTATCGTTTTGAAACTTTGCACACACTCTTCTTTCCTTTGCACGCAGTATATAAATCGGAACGGCCGTGATCGGCCGACTATATCCTATAGCTGCCATATAACTGATTGATCGCAAATGGTATAACTTTGGTTTTTTTGAGTTAGAGTTTAAATTTAAATGAGTTTAAATTTGCCATGAGAGCTATTTTTGGCAAAACATTACGACATGCCAAATTTCATTAGGATCGGCCGACTATATCCTATAGCTGCCATATAACTGAACGATCGGAAATGACCCAACTTTCGTGTTTTTGAAGATAGAAAGCTGGAACTTAGTACTGATTATATTTTTGGTCAGATAATCCGACCTACTCAATTTCATAAGGATCGGCCGACTGTATCCTATAGCTGCCATATAACTGAACGATCGGAAATGTTTTTTGGTAGAAATACCAACTTTGGTATTTTTGAAGATAGAAGTTTGGGACTTGTTTTTAGATTTTATATTATAATGAATTAGGTTATATAATTATATTCTCATAAGGATGGGCCACTTATATCCGATGTTTGCGATGTTTGCAAGGGTATATCAACTTCGGCTCCGCCCGAAGTTAGCTTTCCTTTCTTGTTTTAATAATATTTTTATACCCTTGCAGAGGGTATTATAATTTTGATCAGAAGTGTGCAACGCAGTGAAGGAGACATCTCCGACCCTATAAAGTATATATATTCTTGATCAGGATCACGTCCTGAGTTGATATGAGCATGTCCGTTTGTCTGTCAGTCCGTCTTTCCGTCTGTCCGTCTGTCTGTCTGTTTCTACGCGAACTAGTCTCTCAGTTTTAAAGCTATCGACTTAAAACTTTGCACACACCCTTCTTTCCTTTGCACGCAGTATATAAGTCGGAACGACCGGGATCGGTCGACTATACCTTATAGCTGCCATATAACTGATTGATCGGAAATGGTATAACTTTGATGTTTTTAGAGCTAGAGAGTCAAATTTGACATGAAAGCTATTTTTGGCAAAACATTACGACATGCCAAATTTCATAAGGATCGGCCGACTATATCCTATAGCTGCCGTATAACTGAACGATCGGAAATGACCCAACTTTCGTGTTTTTGAAGATAGAAAGCTGGAACTTGGTACATATACTACTTGGTTGGTCATTGAGAGTTTTCAATGCCGGGAAATGAAAGACGAGTTTATATTTAATTTAAAACGTTACAAATGTTTATTCCTGAATGCAGATGAAGCCGGATGATCCGCAGATAGACCAGATTATGGTGCATGCAGGGACTCAAGTGAATACAGAGATAGGGCGGCCCGACAAGTCACCTCGAGCTAAAGCTCTCGAAAGTGGAGAGGGCGGCCCGACCTAGACATTGCCGAGCTAAAACTCTCTATGGAAAGCTTGTTGAGTCGAGCGGCCGAGAGAGAGTCGGCTTGCGATCAACAAAGTACAAACTTAAGCCTAATAAATAAACATTACACTAAACATTATTTAAACATAAACATTAAACGCCGTGCCGCTGCTTGACCCGACACTATTTTTGGTCAGTTAATCCGATTTACCAAATTTCATAACGATCGGTCGACTATATCTTATAGCAGACATATAACTGAATGATCGGAAATGGTTTTTGGTAGAAATACCATCTTTCGTATTTTTAAAGATAGAAGCTTGGGACTTTTTTTTAGATATTTTATTGTAATTAATTGGTTTTATGATGATATTCTCATAAGGACCGGCAAGCTTTATCCGATGTTTGGGATATATATCCGCTTTTACCTGCAAGGGTATATCAACTTCGGCTCCGCCCGAAGTTAGCTTTCCTTTCTTGTTTTATGATGTTTTATATTTGTTAATACATTGTGGGCAAAATTAAAATCCCCAACCAAATTCCTAACAACAACAAATCCCTGATACAAACTTCGGGTGGAGCTGAAGTTTATATGAAGGTGGCTGTTTTCGTTATAGGATGTACATATATCGGATCGGATATCAAATACAGATAGACGATCCTTTCTCACTGCGTTTCACATTTTTGGTTTAAATTATATTACCCTCTGCAATGGTATAAAATTGATTGTATCATAAATTATCATGAAAATTTTCTGTTCGTAAAATCTATCAACATTTTATTTTTGGGGCGGAAATGAGCGTATTCAAATTTTGAATTGGCGTTACCATAAAAGTACCAAAAAAATCGTAGTGCTAAATTGAATAATTCGATCTCTTATAATCTCAGAGATCTACGCGTTTAAAAATGAAACAAGCCTGCATAAGAATCAAAATATTAATGTCTATAATTCATCTACAAATCGGTGTTAGTTTCTTCTCCTTGTCACATACAGTCACAAGGCACAGTTACAGGCAATATACTCTTGCACTCTACTCTAGCACCGGGTATAAAAACGCAACAAATACTTGATTTTTTTCTTATTTTCGTTTTTTCGCTCAGAGAATAATCATTATTTTGTGATTTTTTAAATAAAAATCATAACCATAATCATTAATTACGGTCCATTTTTAAAATTGCACATTTAATAAGTTTTTATAAACCATAAAACATTTTATAAAGTTTTACAATTCTTCAACGGTACTCTGTGCTCTGTGTATCTCTAAATTTAAAAATATGAGAACGGTGAACATTTAAGCATTTCCTGTGCACAGCTTTTTTCGCAGCTGTATGTGTCAATTTGAATATACATATTATACAACATACAACTTACTTTGGGTCTCATAATCTTCTTCAACACCATGGGTAAAGCCTGTTCTAACCATAACGCCGCTTTTATGTTGGTCAAGTTGTTGGTGAAGCATGTGCACCTCAGACAGTAGTTGCTGTTTTTCAGTACTAAATTTTTTAAGTCTTTCATCTAAAATAGTTACAACATTTACTTAATTGTTTTTATAATAAAAGAGAAAAATCTAAATATATTACCTAAAGAACCTTGAACAGACGCTAACACATTGGCGTTTTCAATACTGACAAGAGCTCGTTTGGCGTCGCTGCCATCAGAATTTTCAATTGCTACAATAATAAGACCTTGTTCCGATATTAATAGATCACGTTCATTTAACTGCCCTTGGACCAAGTTAAGCTCTATAGTTGCACGGTCCAAATTTCGTTTAATCATATTACAGTCACGTAACTTCTCTTTGAATTCACGTTGCAATTGTACATAAGACTCTTGTATTATTTCGCATTTGTCCTTCAGTAGCTTAACCTCAAAGGCTTGTGATGCACGGTCATTTTCTAACTGCGCATTTGTTATCATGGCTTTTCTAAAGCGCTCTTCAACGTCCTTTAATTTAAAATGATTAAAAGGGTAAAAATCTCAAAAAAAAATACTTACTTTAAGCTCGTTTTTAAAGTCGCGAAAACTTCTTCCGTCGTCTTCCAAAGAGTCTTCACTGCTACGACGAGATGCTGAAGTACGGTTGGCATTAAGTAGACCACCATATATGAGCCGTGGAGAATTAGTCGAATGGGTATCTATGACAATATTTCCTCCGCTTATGTTTTGTAAATCAAATACTCGGTCAGCGTTGAGTTCCTGTTCCTTTTGCTGACGCTCCAGCTCTCTCATACGTATTTCACGGGCTTCGGCGCGTGCTTGTCGGCGCGCTGCAAGACGGGCTTCGGCCTGCATAAATATAATTTTTATATAGAATAAGCAATATAAGAATAAGAAAGAAGTCTAACTTCGGACGAAACCGAATTTGATATAAAAATGCCAAAGTTAAGTCAATTCTGATGGTTCAGTTATGTGGCAACTATAGGATATTTCGCCGATCCTTACGAAAATTGATAGGTCGGATATTGTAAGGACCCTTAGAAAACGAGTCTCTCAGTTTTAAAGCTATCAACTTGAAAAGTTGCACGCATTCTTCTTTCCTTCGCACGCAGTATATAAGTCGGAATGGCCGGAATAGGCCGGCTGTATTATTTGCTGTCATATAACTGATTAATCAGAAATTCCATAACTTTGATGTTTTTAAACTTAGAGCGTTAGGATTTTCTATTGATTGGCATCCATTTTTGGCAAAATAAAACGACATACCAAATTTCAAAACATATCCTATATCCTATAAATGTTAGATGTCATGGGAAAGAAGGGGATGGCAAGCGTGCATTTCTGGAGACCACTGCAATCTGGACAATGGGACACAACTGAAATTGTTTGTCTTAAAATTTGCTCGTAAAAATCACCCTCACACCCACAGGTTAGACCGAAAAATTTGTTTTCGGCTCAAAGCTGAAAAAAAGGTGATCTCTACCAAATGTCTTTAGCATGAAAGGCCCTAATTCTTTTTCTGGTAAGTCTTTTAGTAAATACAGTGATTGTCCACACTTTTTCTTCACTCGGACTTTTACTCCAACAGGCGGTAGCTTAGCGTTGAAATTATCTGCGGCATTGCTAAGCTTAAAGGTTCTCTTCGTTACAATCTGGCCAATATCAAATGTCCGGTGATGGCTTCGCAAATCAAAGGTACGTTTGTTGGTTTGCTGGCTTCCTGCATATGTTGAATGTTGAATGTTGAATTGGAAAAGTTGTCTAGTCGATTAAGGGTAGTGGATCCCTCATTCATTAATCCCAATTTTTCTAAAAGCTGGTCATAATTACCATGAGTAATCATGTTTTGTCAAAAACGGCTAAATATGGGGGCATTCGAATAGACTGATGTAGATTATTTTGCAGATTATAGATTATTTATTTTATCCCATTTCCCTCTGATCAGACTGAATGTAAGATCTTAACGCCGCGATAATAGATCTATTAGCATATGCTCACATTGGTATATGCTCACATATGCAGATGTAATCGCGAACATTTATAACCATTACTGGCCATGAGAAAGTTCTGCCACAATGCGAAGCGGATGGTTAATCATGGACTGCGCTAATTACTTCTGTTCTGAATTGTCTCGGGACTACCAACATTCTTTATACAGATCGTCTCTAGAAAAGTTACAACGATGGTAAAGCAAGTTGAAAACAACGTGATAATTGGGCATGTTATTTGCTACTATTTTGTCGATAAGTTCTTTATATTGCGAAGACTGAAACGCATCGGAAAGAAGATCTATCTCGGGCCATACTTCGATGTCTACATTGGCAACGTTCACATCTCCTTCGAAAGATTGAGAGATGGAATCGGCCTTGCAGTTTCATTGCCCATCTTTCTAATCTACCTCTCAAGTCGTTCTGTTTGATTAACCAACTAAAAATAGCATGATCGGTGATTACCTTGAAGGGGTGTCCTTCGATGTACTTCTAAATCTTTCAATGGCTAAAACTAGCGCTAAACACTCTAATTCGGTTACCGAATAATTTTGTTGAGCCTTGTTTAGCTTTTTGGACATATAACAGATTGGCCGCTCGTATCCGTCTTCGTCACACTGTGTCAATACACAGCCTCCTACTCCACAGATGGATGCATCGCACTGAATGATGAAAGGTTTGTCGTAATTGGGACTAATTAATACTGGGAATGAGCATAATTTGTCTTTAATGGATGGAAAAGAATTCTGTGCATCTTCATTCCATGTTAACGATTTTCCTTTCAACAATTCTGTGAGTGGAAAAACTATTGTCGAATACTGTGGTATGAATCTCTAATATCAGCGGTTAAGTGAGTCAGGTGTTTATCAAAAGTAGAAGATAATACCTATAAGTCGTCCAGGTAAACCATCACGTGAGACTTTTATTGATATGGTATAACCGGATCCCTTAATCTGCACATCGCATGCAAAAGGCATGCGCTTAAACTGGTATAGCGGTCGATTTGAGACAACAAAAGCGGTTTTTGGTCGAAATTTTTCTTCTAAAGAAATTTGCCAAAACGCGTCTTTTAAATCGATCTTTGACACGCATCGAAATGTCTAACTCTAACATTCGGTTAATTTCGCTATACAAAAGTTTCTCTTTGGCTGGCGGAATAGGATAATAACGCTGTTTAATAGGACGCGTATCCATTATGTCGATTACGTGCTCTACCAACATTGTTGAACCCAATCCACATTCAGATGTAGGAAATAACTCAATGACGTTCTGTAACTTGTATTTTTCTGTGGTTGATAATGATAGTTTGTCGGTACTCATTTCTATCGCATGCACCTAGGGAAGATTGGGTTGATAATTTGTAGAAATTCCGAATTAATTCCAAAATTCAACTCCACATATAATGTCTAATGATATAAAAGGAACAATTAAAAACTCAAAACCATTTTGAAGGTTTTTATATACCAATGGTATTACTATTGTACCGGTAATTTTTTGACGTTTTCCGTCTGCTGTTCATACTCTTCCTTTTTGTTTTTGATATTGCTTTGAATCTAAGATTGTTTTTGCTAATTCTCCGCCTATGATGCTTCTGTCGGCACCACTATCAAATAAAGCATAATAAAGTTGACCGAAAATGTGAAGCTTAACAAATGGACGATTATCTTGAGCATTTTGTGCAAGGCTCGAAATACAGTCGTTGTAGACTACTTCAAACTGTTCCAAAATTTGCGCATTCGTCTTGATGAGCGTGAATTATGGTATTTAATTGAATACAATTCAGATCTTCTTAGCTTATTTTCTTTATTTGTAATGTGATACGGCTTTCTGATTTTAGGACTAACTTCTACGTCTAACAGTTCTGGTTGGATTGGATTTGAAAGTATTATTCGATTTTCGCTTGAATTTAGTTGCGGATATCGGATGTCCGGGATCGTTCCCGAAAATTATCCCGAAATCGGATTACATTTAACTCATTTTGGTCGATAGGTATCTAAAGCTTCACAGCCGTAACACGCGCCGAGCTTAAGACAATCTAAATACCCGTACCTGGATAATCACAATTCCAGCACATCATGGAAGTTTTATTGCAAACACCTTCTGGTTATCTGTCTCTAAGTCCGAAACTTCATCTTGTTGGTCCTCTAACGAGACGGCATTAACTGTACGTTTAAAATTGTTTTTTAAATTTCCTTGTTTATACTTATTGTTGCCAAAGAATGCCTCATGTTTGTGACACTCTCGTCTCAACGCTGACAATGATGGGGTATCTACATGCAAAAGTTCATGATATAACTGTGGTCTTAGATTGTTTCGAACTTCTGTTACGATTTCTTCATCAGACAATGGTTCTCGTAAGGCATCAGTAATAGCAACCATGGCATCAATGGAAACTTTCGTTTTGACCCTGTTTCCGTCTACGTTAAGTATCTTTCATGTCCCTTTCTGCACGTTGATCTTTGTATCTCTCTCTTAAACGAGTGCATGAATTGAACCGGGTGGTTTCCTCATCAGATCTTGGATCATTAGATCCAATAAAAATTTAAAGCTGGTCCAGCAAAAAGTATATGTAAAAATTTGTAAATCAATACAAAATTTCTATTTAAACTTTGGGATGCTAAGCAGTTAACTTTATAAATAAAGTCTTCTACTGAGATATCACTAAGCAACCCTGTAAATTTTATATTCCAATTTAAGATAACTCCAGAAGTTTTATCCGAGAAGTCTCTAAGAGGTTCTTGAACTACTGGCGAATTATTATTACGTCTGTTAAAGTGGTTGGATCGTGCTCCACTGTCTAAACATATACGAGGATGGGTCAAGGGTGCAGGAAAATCTCATTCAAGTTGCGGTTCTTCTGGGTTTTCTCGCGAATTCCGTTTAACAAGCTATTAAGGGTTGTACGAACTTCTTCGGACAAGGTTGCTGCCACGTTTATACGAAATGACTCCATAGAACTTGCTATCAATTGATGAATTTTTCTTCACTAATACCATTGGCATCAGAATTAGCCTGAGTATTTGTTACATCCTGACCCGATGTAGCTCCGAGACACGTTCTGGGGCTTACATTTGCATTCGGTCTTTGGTGAGATCGGGTATTAGGTCTGTTTCTAGGAATTGTTTCAGTGGTTGTGCTATTGGTTCCAACAGCTCTGGTTGTCCTAGAGTGGTGAATGTTCACTTCTGCATTATTCGAAGTCTGGCTTCCAACCTAATCTCGCTGAAATTACGATTCATTACTATCTAGCCACGGTAATATGCATTGGAGATGGAATTTGTGTTTACATGCTATCACCACATATTCCCCTTGAATATTTGTATCATTGCACATGGTACAGCATATTGTAGTATCTCTCTCATTGGATATTCGTGCTACCAAGTTTTTTAGACTGCGTCATTTCTCTCATTGGATATTCGTGCTGGATATTCGTGCTGCAAGTAATTTTTTGTTGTTATTGTTTGGGTTTTACTCCGAGACAAGCTATCTTAACTATTCAGCTAAGGTATCCCACATTCCTTTAATTTGGGTCTATTGAACTATTGTGGAAATTGTCTAATAAAAGAGAGTCTTGCCAAGAATGCTCAGCAAAAATTATCTTCAATTTTAAGTGTTTTCCAAAATTAATATTAGGAGTTACATTTAGTTGGTGACGAACCGATATAGACTCAGGACGAAAAATCCAAGACTGATATTGTAAAGCCTGATGATGATACAAGAAATAAGGAATATTTAATAAATGTGAGTCTTGGCCACTAAATTGGCTTTTACCAAACTGTGTGATCCAAAGATCTCCTGATTCACGTTTGACTCCAACGTCGGCTCCACAGTTGGGCGACATTTTATCTGTAATGTCCTGGT